TGTATATCTAAATACAGACATGGTGCCACTCCTTGGAACAGAAAACATCTAAATCTCTCTCCTTCCTCCCCACCTCTGCCTGTCAGCTCCTCCGAATGAAGTCCCAGCTTTGTTTTCCTGATTTCCATTTTGTATCCTAAAATATTCACTCCAAGTTCCACTTGACAGACATCCCTAATCTAATCTCCATGTCTGCTTTCTAATTTTCGCAGTCAGGATAAAACAAATTGGCTGGCGTTAATTGCCTGTGCAGCGGCCTGGAGCTTTGAGCCGTGATTTACGAGCTCAGAGCAGGCGCTCTGCAACACATTTTTCTTAATTTATTTTTAATGAGTCTCTCAATTAATTTTCTTGGAAACATCTTAATGATGTTGGAGGCGGGTGTTAATGAGGTTTGTACCGGTGCCTCATTTTGCATATTTTAAAGTACGAATGGCATCACAAGCAAGCTCCTCGTCCTAAAACAAAAAAGCTTAAGGCTGGAGAGGGAGACACTCCTCAGCTAATACTGCTGTCTCAGCTCAGGCTTTCAGGCTGCATGGGCCGGTTGGTGACTTTGAATGTCTGGAGGCCAAGGCCGGCCAAGCCCTCAAGGACAGGACGACCCCGATGGCGTGGGTGGGCCAAGGAGCAGCGCTGGGGCAGGGCTGGTGGCCGGACGCTTCTTAACAGACGGGATCAAAGCCTGGGCTCAGTGCCTGGGCATGCCGCAGTTCTCCCTGACACCCCCATGCCGGCATCCCCCGTGACACGCGCGCCCCGTCCCCTGTGTCCCCCCAGCCAGACCCTTTGGGCACAGGGGCTGGGCTGCCGGGGCTGCAGGATGCTCCAGGGTGTCTCTGCTGGCTCACCGGGACCCCGGTAATTGCTGGTGCGTGTGCCGGCGAGAGGCAGCAGCTGGATCGCCTTTGTTTTCTCTCAGCACGTCAGTCTTCATTAAACCGGAGGGGAATGAAAAAGGATTCACTTTTGTCCCAGCCAGAACGTGGCAGCTGTTTAATTTCAATTAACGTGGCACTGAAAAGAATAACATTACGGCAGTAATTAAAGTGAGACAACTCGCACCCCCAGCACTGCGTGGTGCCGGCTCACCCGGCAGAGGGTCCAGTTTGGCCCCCCCATCCTCCCAGCACCAGGCGAGCACGGGCGGGCGGCTGTGGGCCAGGGCTGTGGGGCTGCCCCACAGGCTCACAAGGAGCTGGAGCAGGGTTGAGCCCTGTCAAGGTCGGCGCTGCCTGCAGCCCCGCAGCAGCAGGATCGGCAGCACGTCAGCTGGAGGAGAGGACAGGTATGGCAGTGGGTCAGACATGCCCAGGGACTGGGAGCCAACGGGCACCTCTGGAAGCCCCAGCCCAAGGCACAGCCCCACCACAGCTCCCGCACTCCAGGAGTGGGTGGCTGGGTCCAGGCAGTGCAGCACAGCTCAGTACGGTGTGGCATGCATGGCACAATGCAGCACTGCGTTGCATTTTGCACAACGTAACATGGCACAGCATGGCACAGCTCAGGATGCGTGGCAGGATGCAGCACAGCATGGCATGGTACAGCTCAGCACAGTGCAGCACGCGTGGCACAGCAGTGCGGACCATCGCAGCACATGCAATAACCAGCTTGGCAGCGGGCATAGCCTGGCAGCACAGCCAGGGCTGCTGCATGCAGTAAGGAGGGTAAACAAGGTGGCAAAGGCCCACGTAAGCAGTGGCTGCAAGCGAGCCGTGGTGCTGCAGGCTGCAGATCTGGGCGCGTACTGCTGCGGGACAGCAGAATGATGCCAAGCCGTGCCGAGCTGTGCCACCGTGTGCTGGGCAGAGCTGCGCCATGCAGAGCGGCGCGGGCTGCTCTGGGCTCAGTCCCAGCCTATGTGCTATGTGCAGGGTGCTGCCCGGGGAGGGCAACCAGCTTTAATTAAAGCAGCAGTAAGGCCCTGATGGAGCACCAAGGCAGAGGATGGCAGCCGTGGAGGCTCCGTGCCCTGGCTGCCACTGCCTGAACAAGATTGAAATCTGCAGGGAAATTTTGTTCCCTTGCACTGGCAGAAATTAGGGCTAAATTCAATTGTGTTCTGCACAGTGGGGGTTAAGTGGCCCTGCTCGCAGGACTGTTGGTGCTGCGCCCTCTCCCACTGCCTGTGGCTGCGACCCGCTGGTGGAGCAGGTCGTCATGGCAACTGATGATTTCTATTATGGTACATCTGTGTTCACCTTCTGGGCCCAGCTTGGCCTTGGAAATTTCCAGTTAAAATACTTACCTGTGAAACTGCACTGAGCATCAGCGAAGGCGACAGCACAGGGAACCCTGTGGCACAGGGAACCCTGTGGCACAGGCAGCCAGGGCCAGCGGCAGGCGTGTGCCCAGAGCATCGCTGGGCAGCCGCGCTCAGGGCAGCGCTGGCACCCAGTGAGCTGCTCTGCTACCCCGGGGCACCCGGGCTGCTGCAGTGCGGCCCCAGGCAGGGAGGGCAGACCAGCCACCTGCTGCCCAGAGCTGCTGAGCCATGGTGGGGCAGCCCCATCCACTCCCCCCCATCTCAGTGAGCACGCTGGCCTGGGGTGCAAGGCTCACCCAGTGGCCCCCCAGCTGAGGCACCGCAGACCCCATTTGACCAGACAGCGATCCCATCTGCAGCAGCATTTTGCCTCTGTGGACTGGTTTTCATACATCTGCACACGTATCTACACAGAACTAGCACTGCTTCTCGCTCTGGTCACCGTCTTACATGGTCCTTTGGCAACTCGGCAAACTGCATCCATGCCTCCCACCCGCTACCGGGTGACCTGCGACCAGACGGGATGGGACAGGTCTCCTGTGCCCCCGGAACTGGCTGGAGGTCACTGCCTGCCAAGACTGGACACTGATTCCTCCTGCCAGCGCCAGTCCCTCCCCTGTGCATCGACCGATTGTTTTCCTGAAAGCCCTGGGTGAAGGTTTCCTGCAGGGTTGCACAGCAGGATTTCCCTTTGCAGAAGCTGCTTGCCCTCTCCCCAGCAGATCAGTGTCGCACTGATGCAGTGTTGTTTCTATCGACTCCCCCAGCAGCAGCCAGGCTGACAGCCAGGCTCATCTCCATCCTCAGAGTCTCTCCTCGCCCATGGGTGCTGCACTTGTCCCAAGAAGCTTCTGGGGCACACTCGGCCTCCCCTGGGGCTGGTGGCCTGCAGCCCTGCCAGGATGTGCCCCTGCGGGGGGTCTCGCCAGCAGTGCCCCATGCGTGGTGTGCAGAGCAGAGGGGCCACGCTGCACAGCCACCCACCCCCAGCCGCTGCTGTCACACTGCTTGGGCGGCCCTGGGCCTGGTTTGTTCACATTTACTGTAGCGCACACACACGGGCAGAGGGTTTGTTTTGGGTTTGAGTTTGGTTTTTTTTCCACTATTGATCTGGTGCTTTAAGAGTGGAAAAAAAATCGCCTTGGCTGTCTAAACACTATTGATCTGTGCTGGGAAGCCGCATGGACAGGGAAGGGCGTGGAGAAATTGAAATTTCATTTCCGACAACTTGTTCCTGTTATTTTTACCCTTTTGGACAGGGAGAAACACGAAGCAGTAGCCTCAGTCGATGTGGTCAATAGCTCCTCCAAGAGCTCATTGCAGCTCTGGGGGGCAGCTCAGGGAGCCGCAGGCCAGCACAGTGGGAGGCACTGGTGCCCAGCTGTCCCCAGGGCACAACACCGAACGTGGCACTGCTGCCGTCCCCACTGGCACCTGCCTCTGGCTGCAGGCCTGCAGCGTGTCCTGGGGCCAAAGCATGGCACAAGGATGGTGCAAGGGGGGGGATAGCTCAGAGACAAGGGGGTGCAAGGGCAGTGTGAGGCTGGTGAGGCTCAGCCATGGCGCGAGGATGCCGCAAGGATCACCATGTATGGCAGTGGGGCAGGACAGGGCTTGCCGGATGCACCAGCACCAGGAGGAGTTCCCTGGTGCACGAGGTCACCAGGTTCTAGTTCTGGGCATTGTCCCCAGAACCGGGCCAGGGCACAGGCTGCAGGGAGGGCAGAGTGTCATGACATGCCAGGGACAGAGTGCGGTCGAGGAGGAACATGCCACATGAAGGCTGTGGTGAGGGCTGCAGGCAGCGGTGGGGCTGTGCTCTGCAGAGAGGGGGCAGGTGCTGCTGGAGGGGATGGCCACGGGCCCTCACGCAGCTCTGCCATGCTCTCGTAGGAGCCCCAGGCTCGGCATCTCCTGCTGGCACAGGGTGCTCCTGAGATGGGGAGTTGCAGTGCCAATGCCACAGGATGGTGGGGCTGCCCCAGGCAGGGCTGGGTGACATTGCTGGCTGCCCCTTCCCTGGGACCAAGGGTTGTCTGGGGCCAGTGGGAAGGGCCTGTCCCATGTTGTGGTCCCTCCAGCAGCGAGAGAGTGGCCAGAATGTGGCACGTCCAGGGCGGTTCCTGCACCTCTGGGCCAGCCTGAGGGTCCCTGTGGAGGGCTGCCAGGAGCGGAGGAGACAACATCAGAGCTGAGCAGCTCCATCCACCAGCTTCAGCAGGAGACAGAGACCTGGCAGCTCCAGGTGAGCAGTGCCAACCCCACTGCCACCCCAGGCACTGGTCACATAGCCGCAGGCTGGTGGCCGGGTGGTATAGGAGGCCCTGGCCAGCCCTCGCCTGTGCCACCAGACAGCTCGGCCTCCAGGTCTGGGGAAAGCACAAAAGGGCTCAGGGGCATCCAGTCCTGCTGCGGCTGCACTGCTCCCACTGCCACCTTTTCCCACAGCAGCCACAGCTCACGCTGGCATCACTGCAGTGCCAAGTGCCAGCAGCTTTGTGGGCTTGGCTGTTCTTGAGCCCAGGGGAACTGTCAGAACACACACACAGGGGGGTGCTGCCTCAGGGGGGGAGAGGTCTGCACCCACCAGTTCTCAACACACTCCATTGCTGCTCTCTGACCAAAAAAACCTGGACTGCCAGCATTGTAGTCCAGCTCCAGTGCCTGGCAGGAGCTGCAAGATGGGCTGGCCACAGCAGTGAGCCAGACAGATGCTGCTTATGCTATGTCCTAGGGCCAAAGGCACGCATCAGTGCTGGAGCCATGGCAAAGGGAGCCCCAAGCATGCCAGGACACGCAGCAGCAGGAGCTGGAGCCAGCGCAGGTGCTGGCCTCGATACAGGCGCTGCAGCTGGACCTGGACTTCTGCAGGGGCACAAACCACAAGCGGCTGGTCCAGCTGCTGCAGCGGGAGCGTGCAGTGGAGCAGAAGCACCAGGAGTTGGTCTTTCTGATGCAGCAGTACCAGGCAGTGATGGGCAAGGTACCACTGCTGGGCAAAATGGCCACAGGCCTGGCTGCATGAATCCCCCTCCCTTGGCCATACCTCCCCTGCCCCCCAGCCAGCAGACACTGCTGTCCAGCAGACACTGCTGCAACAGGGAGGGCACTATGGGGGATGCACAGGGATAAGCGGGCCAGGAGCCAGCAGCCATCCTGCTTCCCACATGGTGCAGGCCACATCCCTCTGCCACAGGTCCTCCCCAGCAGCCCTTCGCCCGCGGGTTGTCCCAAACTAGTTGCTTCTCCAGCCCCAGCCTCTCCACAGCAGGGGCACAGGGCAATCCAGGGGGTCCCACACCATGCTGGGTACCCACAGGCCAGTGATGCACCTCTCCACAGGACCAGAAAGATGAGGCGGTGCAGACAGAGGTCACTGCCTACAGCCATTCTGACACCAGCTGCAATATCCTGAAGGAGGAGTGCATGGAGCTGCTCGAGCAGGTCAGTGCTGGCAGCCCAGTAGCCCCAGCACTGGTGCGTGGGGCCAGACGGGAGCTGGCAGACAGCACATGGCTGTGCTGCTCATACAGGTCACAGTGGTAGACACAGAGATGATGCACTTCAGGCAGAAGTGGGCGGCTGAGGAGCGCCAGTACCGGGCACAGGACACGCAGCTGGGGAGGGCGGCCGAGTGAAGTAGTGCTGAGAAAAGTGGGGTGGGCAAGGAGGGGGGCACCCAGGGCCACAGGGCTGGGACATGTGGAGGCTGGAGCCTGCAGCCAGCACCACAGGGTTCCACGCTCTTGGTGGCTCCAGTGGGGAGCCCAGGCCCAGCCAGAGCTTGCCCCCATGGCAGAGAGCAGCAGCAAGGAGACATCTGGCACCCATAAGGGTCAGTGCACACACAGCTGGAGGATGAGGAAGGAAAGCAGCCCAGGAGGCAGCAGGCAGTGCCTCCCCATCAGTTACTGCACGTCCATGCACTACAGCAGCACCCAGTCCATCCTGGTGCAACAGGGGATGCAAGGGGAGGGGAATGGCAAGACCCTGTGGGCACCACAGGCTACCTGTGCTTTTGGGGCATCACTAGTTGCAGAGTTACAGGGCAGACAGTGTTTCCCTGTGCAGTTCTGGCAAGGTGGAGAGGCAGCTGCCTGGGGAGGAAGCAGCCAGGGGAGCACGGAAGGCATGAGAGCAAGTGTCCCAAAACTGCGCTGCAGGGCTGAGCCCTGCTCCGCTTCCCCCAGAAGCCCTGGGACAGGGTGGGGGGAGGCAATGCCAGCCTGCCCCCCCCTCCCCGCCCCCATCTCAAGCAGCCTAGGCACCAGCACAGCAGCTGCCAGCTGTGAACATCCCGCAGCACACAGAGGAGCAGCCGTGCCTGTGCTTGGGGAAGGGCACGCAGCACAAGGCCAGCTGCGAGGTAGAGACCGAGCTGCAAGCACTGCAGAAGCAAGCAGCCAGCAGCAAAGCTGAGCAGGCACAGAGCAGGTAGGCAGGTCCCGAGGCTGGCTGTCGCTGGCACAGCCAGGGCCCAATTAGGAGTCTGCCTGCACCCACTCCATCAAGGGAGGGCAGCCTGGGGCTGTGACAGCTGAGACTGTCCCCTTGCCCCCAGGGAGCTGGCAACACAGCTCCAGGCAGAGCTGAGCCAGTGGCAGTGGAAACAGCAGGTGACCCTCGAGCAGGCGCTGCAACACATGCACGCTGCGGCCCATGCCGAAGAGAAGCTGCAGAGGAGTCAGGAACAGCTCCAAGCCCTGAGGGAGCAGGTAGGTCGTGGGCAAGACCTGCTCTGAGGTCCCTCTGTCAGCCTGGCCCCCGTCTCCTCTGCCCCCATGGATAACCCAGGGCCTGCCCAGTGCCAGGAGCAGGCTACCACACCACGGGAGCTGCAAGGGGAGCTGTGCTGCCAGCAGGATGGGAAGGGAAAGCTCTAGCAAGAGTTGCAGCAGGTGAGGGAGTGGACGAGAGAGAATAAGCCCTGCAGCAAAGCCTGTGCTGCAGGAGTGGGCAGTGAGCTGGGATCAGCAGCAGGAGAGAGGGTACAGATCTCGCTCTGCCAGGAAGCGGCACTAGCGCTGCGATGCGGCACCCGCTAACGCATTGCCTTCCCTGCAGCTGGGGGCACAGGAGGAGCAGAGCCAGGGCCTGCAGCACAGCCTGGCTTGGCTGCAGGAGGAGCTGAGAGCCACCCAGGCCCGTGAGCAGCAAAGTCTGCAGCAGCTTAGCAGAGCCAAGGAGACCATCCAAGACCTGCACCAAGAAGTGGCCTCTAACAGAAAGCACCTGGCAGAGCTGCTGCAACAGGTGAGGGCAGGGACAGGACAGATCCAAGTTGCAGCCAGCCAGCGCCAGAGCAGCAAAGTGCTGCAGAGAGCCCTTGCCTGCTCCTGGGCAGCACTAGCCCCTGGGGGGAGCCCCAGCCTGCCCACAGCTTGGCCAACCACCCTCCCTGCCCCACAACTTTGCATGCAGGTGCAGGACATGGCCACCCTGCAGGCAGAGCTAGCCCAAGCCCAGCAAGAGAATGCTGAGCAGGAGGAGAAGATTGCAGCCTACGAGGAAGGGAGGCAGCAGTTCCAATGGGAGCTGAGGAAGCTGCAGGGGGCCCAGGAGCAGAGCAAGCAGGAGGTAAGTGTGTCCCAAGCCTTCCCACAGGGCACCAGGAGCCTGTGCTCAGCCTGGCTCTCTCACTGTCTCTTTGTGCTACCGGCAGGCCCACTCCCTCCGGGAGAGGCTGCAGGAGCTGAGCAGCCGAGCCCAACAGTGGCAACAGCTACACCAGGACAGCGAGCAAGCTCTGGCTATGCGAGACGAGGAGCTGGTTGTTTGCAAGGTGGAGCTGGCTTTCCTCAAGGAAGAGCTCAGCAAGGCCACGGAGCAGGTGCAGGATAGCAACAGGCAGCACCACAGCCCAAGGGCAGGAGCGCAGGCTGGGCCCCTAGCACCACGGAATGACAGATCTTGGCCCACAGGCAGGGGAGAGGTGGAGAGGACAGGACAGGGGACAGCATACTGCAGATCCCAGGCCACCAAGGGAGGAGGCTGTGGGTCTGGCAGCAGCAGGGCTGAACATCTCGTTCTCCTTAAACTAGCCCTCTTTGCTCCATTGCTAGAAAGAAGCCCCTCAGCATGGAACTACCATGTTATGACAGAAGTTCACAGCCAGTAGTGCTGAGGTAACAGTTCTTCTCCAGAGCAGCTCTCCCGAGGCACCAGCCTCTCCAGACCCTCTGCTCAGCCTCAAGGCTGCTGCCTCAGCACAGCCTGGTTTCTCCAACTGCCTTCAGTCCTGGGCTCATAGAGGCTGGGAAGAGCAGTCACATGCTGGTTCACACATGGCACGGGACGGGGGGGTCATTCTTTCCAGGTAGAAATCCTGCGCTCTTCCCACATTCTGGCATGCTCCGACAGCAGCGGGCTGTGCAAGGAGAGGGAGCTGGTGCTGGTCAACATCAGCCAGTGTGTCAAGGAGCAGATGTGAGTGAGAAGCCTTACCAGAGTAGGGAGGGGCAGGTGGCTGCCTTCTCATCACACCACCTCACACCTTATTTTCAGGCAGCCAAATGAGAAACTAGGGCACAAGATCCAGCGGCAAATCAAGCAGATCACAGAGCTGACAGGCAAAAAGGAGTAAGTTGTGAACATGGGAAGCGGGGCTGAGCTCTCCGCACACACCAGTTACTGCTGCCGGCAGGGGTGTATGGGACAGATGGACAACTGCTAGACTACCCAAGCTCCTGCAAGGCCAACAGATCAAGATTGTCTCTGCACCACTGCATCACCTCATCGCCACTGCCTTTCCTCCAGGCATCTTCAAGACACATTGGGCAGGATGCAGGAGGAAAACATGTACCTCACGGTCAGAACACATGAGCAGCACCACAAGTGTGAGCAGCTGAAGGTGAGCAGAATTCCTGGCACAGCCTGGCCTGAAACACGGCTGGGCCTATGGTCTTACGTGTGCAGGGACAGCTGGGCACTGGCTGCCTGCCCAGGGCACGGGTTGTGGGAGAACTGCCTTTGCAGTAGTATGGGCCAGGGCTGGGCCAGGGCCAAGCTGTCTTTGCCCTCTAGGTCAGTGTAATTCTGTACCTTGTCCCAGGCTCTACAGGGCAACAACTTGGCAGTACCAGCCCTGCATGATGATTCTGCAGGGCTACCTCCACCCAACACTCACCTCCAGGACAAGAAGCAGTGGAAAACAAAGAAAGGATTAGACTGAAAACCTTTAAAACAAATAAAATTCTTTCTGTTCTGTAGCAAAAGTGGTGCCAAGCACCAAAGCCTTCCTGGGCCACAAGCTGTAGAGCACCTCACAGAGTACAGTGATCAGAGGAGCTGGGCAGTCTCCTAAGACTCGGCTGCTCCTGGAAGTCTTTAAGCCTCAGAGCAACGGGCACTGCCTTCTTAGAGGCCAAAGCGGGCTGGGGTGCGTCGTGGCGTCAAGGGCTCCCCCTGCTCCTTCCGCCCAGGGGTGTAGATTTTAGTAGATCTGCCAGGAGAGGACAAGGGTGATTAGTGGAATATGCAACCTTTCCCTGCACCAGAACACCTATTGGGGAAGTTGGGATCCTCCACACAGCTCACTACTCCTGCTCTTATGCAGGCAACCCATGGCCAGGCAGGGCTGGCACCTACCTTGCACTGCCCAGTGGGTTACGGCGCTCCTGCTCCTCCCGGCGGGCACGCAGCTGCTCCTCAGCCAAAGCCATCTCTTCCTCCATGGCAGACACTTCCTCCTTGGCACGGCGGCGGTTCTCCTGGAGCAAGGCAGCAGCAGGTCAGGGACAGGCAGAGGGCTAGCCAGCAGCAGACTCTCTGCAGGCCCACAGGCCTGCTTCCTCCATGTCAAAACACACACACACACACAGACACACACACACCCTGCACTAGAATAGGCATGCAGTGGGCCTGCTGTCTGCCAGCTCATCCTGGACGGGAGACTCACCTGGCGTGACTTGCCAGCATGTTTGATACTGTAGAACATGGGGCCCAGCTCTGCCAGCCACTCTCCATCCACAGCAGTGACACACTGCATATATTCCTGCAGGGACAGAAGGAAAGACTGGGGTAGCAGCATGGCACTCTCAGGGCCTGGCCATTTCCAGAGCCATGGCAGGTCCCTCCCTCCCCCACTTGCTGATGGCACTTCTCAGGCTGGGACCGTAGCCCTTCCAGACAATTCCTCCCAGCCTCGGAAGCTGCTATGGGCTGGACTTGGTGAGACCACAAAGAGGTTCAAACATGTCCTACACAGGCCAGGAACAATACTGGGAAAGGGACAAACAGAACTCTGCAGCTGACACAGACATGCCTAGTTGGTACCGATGAGAAAGGCTGAGAACTGCCCTTCTGATAAATCCTGGTATCACAGCAAAGCCCTCCCATCTCCCTCAGAGCAATCCTCAGCCTTCTTGCTAGCCCTCAGCTCAAGCTCACCTTGGTGGTCATGACCAACTCATGATACACAATGTAGTCTGGTGTGTAGCCCATGCCAAACAGAGAGCTTGTGGGGTGCAGGTGGCAGGGCATGCCTGTGCGGATGTTCACGTACTCCCCAATGCCCTGCAAAGAGAAGTGAGGTGAGCTCACCTATACCCAGACAGGGCCTCAGCCCCCAGACTAGCACAGACACCTCTCACCTTCAGCTTTGCAGCTTGATGGAAATACGCAGCACAGATGCACTTCCTGACAACATCCCAGTCAGTACCACAGGAAGCTAGGCTCATCCGCTGCTGCACCATAATGTCCTTGAGCTGGGCACGCACCTCCCGCACCTGCAAAGGTGTGTGGCAGTCGGATCCCTCTCCTGCATAAGGCTCCCTCCCCCAACCTCGTTGCCACAGCCTCACCTTCCGCATGGCCTTGGCATGGATGAAGTGCTGGTTGCACCACAGTGTAGAATAGCTGTTGTTCTTCCACTGCAGGTAAACATTCAGATAAGTCAAGTGATCACTCTCTGGAACAGCAAATTTCTCCCGCACTTGGTCACTCTCCTCCTCTCGGCCCTGAAGGGTGAGCAAAGAACACAGGTTAGTCAAAGGGCAGGGGAAGGCCCCAAACTGCTGAAAGAACAAACAGGTACCTTAGGCCGATAAAAGATGGCAGGCACAGACAACATGGAGACAATGAGCAAGATCTCAGAGCTGCAACCCATGTCACAGGAGACAATGAGCATTTTGGAGAGTGCAGGATCCAGTGGGAACTCCACCATGAGACGCCCTGTTGAGGTCAGACCACCTGTAGGAACAGTATAGGGATCAGCAGCTGGGCAGGTCCCAGTCCCATGAGCTGACAGCTTGCCCCGGCAGCCAATACCTGTGTTATCCAGGGCCCCCAGAATCCACAGCTGGTACATGGAGTTCAGCATGTTGTCCTCGGGGGGTGGATCCATGAAGTGGAACTGCAGCAGGTCCTGCACACCCAGGGACTTGAGCAAAAGCACTACATTGGCAAGGTTGGTGCGCTGGATCTCGGGCACCGTGGTTGTCAGCAGCTCATTCTTGTAGGCACTCTGGGTGTAGAGCCTGGGGAACAGATGCCAAGACCATGCTCCTCCCGTTCAGGCCACCATGTTCCTTACTGACTCGCCAGCCATTGCCCAACCCAGCCAGGCGTGGCACAGGGCAGCAACTCTGCACTCAGCCAGGCCAGCCAGCAGGACCCCAGGGAGGAACCTCTACCCTGGCCAAAGTGTGGCCTCCCCAGCACATATGGGTGCCTGGGCTGCAGGACAGTGTACATCCCTCTCAAGCACAGCCCTTCCCTGGGCGCAGACCAGTCTCAAAGCAAAGCCTTGAGAGAGCTGCCTTTGGCTTGGCTGTTGTCCTGACACCATCAAGGGTGGAACAGCCACAAGTGAAGGTGGGCAAGGGAAGAAACTGGAGCATATCCTTTCCCTGCAGAGGCACTAGGTCCAAAAGAGAAGGCCTCAAGGCCTGCGTACTGTCCTTATCCACCCAGAAGTTCAAGATAATGAACAGGTCCAGTGAGAAAAAAATATATATAACCTGAAACCAAGCTGCAGGTACGACAGGAACAGGTACACCAGTGACGTGCCTACCTGAAGCAGTGGCCTGGGCCTGTTCGGCCAGCTCGGCCTGCCCTCTGATTGGCATTGGCTTGACTGATGGGATAGATCTGCAGCGCATCCATGCCTATACGGGGATTGAAAACCTGCAGGGCACAAGAACAACAGACTGAAGTAAGAGGAAGGCTTGATCACTACCACAGAACTCCCTCAACCCAACCCCAGAGATCACAGACATAAACAGTACAGGGCATCTTGGGTTACCTTCAACTTGCAGTAGCCCGAGTCAATCACAAACATGATGCCGTCCACTGTCAGCGAGGTCTCTGCAATGTTAGTGGCAACAATGCATTTCCTGACCCCATCCGGAGCCTGCAAGCATACTGCACATCAGTCAAATCCCTGGACAAGGGCTTCTGCACCACTGAGCAAGAGTGCAGAGCAGCAGTACAGAACCCAGAAGGACAGGGGTGACTCTTGGGAAGCTGAGGGGGACACGTGCTTTCTCTTGCCCTCCACATGCAATACAAAAGGCGTGTCTGCACCTCTCACTCATGCTCAGTAGTCTCCCCTGCTCCCACTCCTACCACAGAGCACACATCAGCACCTTCTGGAAGATCTTGGCCTGCAAGTCTGATGGTAGCTGAGAATAGATAGGCAGTACAGCAAGAGCAGGCGCCTTCTCCAGCTCCTCAAGGTGTTCCACAATTTGCTCTGAGGTCACCTAGACACGAAGAGGGGTGTAAACATAAGATTAAAACAACAAAGGGGTAGGACACTGCTTGCCCTTCCAGCTCACCTCTATGTCCTCCTGGCCAGGCATGAAGACAAGGATGTCTCCAGGAGCACCAGACAAATGGACCTGCAGGGCTTGTTTCACTGCTGCCTCCACATAATCCTCTTGTGGGGTCTGAAAGGCACAGCCTCGCTATAGACGCAAATGATCTCACCTGCCCCATCCTGTGCGCAAGACTGCATCATAGCACAGCTACTCCTTCTCTATCCTTTCTGTCCACCACAGAGTACAGTACACCCAGGTCACAACCCCCTCCTGTCAGAACAGAACTTCCCTCTGCAACATTGACCATACCTTGCTGAAAAGAATATCAACAGGGAAAGTGCGCCCAGGAATGTGGAAAATAGGAACATTCCCAAAGAAGGAGGCAAACTTATCTGCATCCATGGTGGCCGAGGTGACAACAAGCTTCAGATCTGAGCGTCGGGCCACCACCTAGAAAGCAGATGAAAGGAACAATAAGGAAGGGGCGTTTGTGGATGGCTGCAGGCTGCTTCCATTATTACTGAGACAACAGCACAGGACAGAGCTTCTGCTGTACTCTAGAGGCACTGGCCACTACTGCTAGGGAACACAGGTGCTATATGATCTGTGCAGTTAAAAAGACCTGCTGACCTCAGTCCAGGAAGCCTTAAGCCAGCAGAGATCTTTGTACCTAGAGTTTCTGACAGTTAGCCATCAAGCCTCTGGCAGCACTCAGGCACTAGGGGAGATTTAATCCCCAGAACCAGGGACCAGGATGTTGGAACAGCAAGTGCAGACAGAGATGTGGCAGCTCTGCTTCCCTCTCCCAGACCTGGTAGAGAAG